TAATTCCGCTTGCTTTGCTTCTAGGGTACATTGCTGCAGGGTAAGAGTGTTCCTCAGTTGTAATCTTTTTGATGTTCTGGAATCCAACATTCCAACCACTATACGATCACGAATCAATTCTTCTTTTAACTGCCCGTAGTTACAATGTTATGCTAGACTATGGAGGCTAGTTTTGAAAAAATCTACTATTTCTCCTGGGTTTTGAACCCTTGAATTAAATTTGAAACGTTCAAAGATAATGTTTCTTCGAGGAATAAAAAATGTATCGAAGCTATTTAATGCCTCTTGGAAAGTAGTTGGCTGTTGCTCAAATTGAAGAGCTATTTCTTCTGACTCATCTCCCATAACCCATAATATACAGGAGTATATCAATCTTTATCACTGTCTTGTTTATTCAGCTGCCCCGACACGGACATGTTTCGCTCGAATCTTTTTTTCCAGACTGGCCATGCCGCTGGTATTGAAAAATTAAATTTTTCTGAAAATGTGACGTTAACGGGAATAGGTGCCATAACCACCTGAGGTCTCGTGATATTTATTGGAGCTCTAGCCTGAGAAGGAGGACTCTCAGGCAGAGAAGGCATACCTACTATTGGTGGAGGCGAAGACATTTTCAACAACCGCACTAGTCTGTGAATCTAATTTGCTATCCATCAGCAATGCAGCACGAGAAAAATAGTTTAGGTTATGATTATTTGACGACCAAATTAAAAATTTGCACTCGCGAACGGAAATAAAAACAACACCCAGCTGCCACCATGTTTTGTTATGGGTTTGGGGACTAAATAACGGCACTTTAAATACTTTAATGAAGCGATTTATTAATAACTCCTTTTGAGCGTCCTGTCCTTAGCAAAACGTGCCCCATCAATTGTTTTCGTCCCTTCCCGCCCAGTCCAGTCAGTCGACCACCACCTGACAGCCGTTGACACTTAACTGTCCTGGTCCTTAGCGGCGTTGCCACATAAACAATTGATGCTCACATGCTCACAAAATACTGGCTCTGACAGAACAATTTCTGTGGAATTTCGTTGAAGATGTCATTATTAATTTGTGATTCTCTGTTAAGTAGTTCCTGAAAGTGTTATTTCCAACGAAAACTAAGAGAACTGTCTTGAAGCATTCGTGTGTCATCTTTGGATCGTATGGGACTGAGTGCTTGAGTGGTTGGTCCGAAGAGGTACCATCTTAGTAGCCCGGAAAGAAGGCCTTGGTGCTGTTGGATTCAGCTAGTTGTTGCAGAATATGTACCTACCAACCTACCTTATGGTCAGCATACTAGATAATAAAATATAATTTTTTTTTCTGATTATGTAAATACTTAGGTAGTTAATTATCTAAATTAATGAGGCTTTAGAATACCGATTGTACACTTGCAACATACTTACATCCTGAATTTACCAAATAACACTCCATTAAACAAAACGATTTCTCAATGCTGAGAAATTAATCCATAATAATTAAGGAAATAGTTTTTCTAATTATTATTGATTCGAACGTTTTCAGTAAATCAATGCCCGTGTACATACATACGTTTCATATTAGCAACCACGTTGCGAAACCGACAACTTGAAATGTAAATGGTCAATATTATATAGATAAATAATTAGAGACCCAATTCAAATTAAAAATATGCAGAAATATTTGTAGCACATAAAAATTATAAATTCCTTTCAATATTCCATGCTGTTATTTTGCCATGATAAAGTCGACTATAAACGCAAAATCGAAAATAGGGTTTGATGCAATTTTAATTCTAGATAATTATAATTTTGTTGCTTGGCTTCAGCTAGATGGTATATCTGTTGAAAATTGCACCTTTGAATGATTTTCCTTTTTTTATTGCAAAATGTTCACTAAGCGTTATTTTATCTTCTTTAAATTGCCGATTATGATTATACGGCTTTGCAAGATTTTGATTGTTGTTATTAGATATAGAAAGTTAAAATTGACTAAACATCTTATGAAAGCTGCATTGCATTACATTACCGCGACCTATCCGTCTTCCATTAAATTCCTAATTTCTGGAGGCATATGTATGAAAGACTATGAGAATAATTATTGAGACACCAAAAAAATACGTATGTAGGTAGGTACTTATTTACTTCTCGATCGAAGATGTCATTTGGTGATGACAAAGTAGGTACCTATACAGGGTGTCCCACCGGGAACCAAATCGATCTATCATGAAAAACTGTATGCAAACATTTTTTGAAAATTTGACAGTATACTAATGTCAATGGAAGTAGACGTCAACTTGCTTATTTTAAATGGGACACCTTAGTGTGATTGCATATTTGGGTTTTACGTAAAATTCTGAGCAGATTTGTGATATCCTCTTTACCTAAGTTCAACTGTTTTGGAAATATTGACAGTTGAAAATTGATTTTATGCAACTTTGACAGGCTGTAAAACCTAAACGGTTTATTTAAGAGGAAAACCAATTTGACATTCCCATCTTAGATTTTCACTAGCTTTGAATTTAACCGGAGAAATTTAATTCGAATTTTTAATCATGGATTAAATTCAGAAATGGTGTCAAATGCAGAATAATCATACAGTTTTATATATTTTCGTATGGTTCTCCATTCGTAGGTCGATCGAGTGTACGCCACTGGTATTTTCCTGTTTCTGACTACCCCCTCAACCTTTCCATGTTAGCATGAATTCAATCATATGTACAGTTTTTGAATAATCATACAGTTTCCTACGTACAGTTTTTGAATATTAATCATACAGTTTCGTATGTTCTCGTATGGCTCTCCATTCGTAGGTCGATCGAGTGTACGCCACTGGTATTTTCCTGTTTCTGACTACCCCCTAAACCTTTTCATGCTAGTATGAATTCAATCCTATGTACGTTTTTGAATAATCATACAGTTTCCTATGTACAGTTTTTGAATAAATGATAGCTTATAAAAATCTAATACAGGAATGTAAAATCGGTTATCCTCTAAAAGTGATCGTTTAATGTTGAACTTAGGTATAGGGTATATATCACATGAGGTCTGCTCAGAATTTTACTTAGAATCCAATTATGCAATCACATACAGGTTGTCTCATTTAAAAGAAGCAAGTTGACGTCTACTTCCGGTATAACCGGACGAGCCACCATCTTGAAAATATTTTAGCCGGGTTGCCCCCATTGACATTAGTATACTGTCAGATTTTTAAAAAAAATTTGCATACAGTTTTTCATAAATAGATCGATTTGATTCCCGGTGGGCGGTGGGACACCCTGTATTATAATAGAGACTTTTCAAGACCTTCTAAGGTAGGTACATTAGTTATAGTAAATTTTGTACTATTTTAATCTGTAAATGCTTGACATCTATATTTTCATTATTTTCAGTACTTTTGTTCTCTGTTTTCGAATTTGACAGCCGTTAAAAATAATCAGGGGTTTGAATGTGCTTTAACCACATCATACTTATAGACCTTGGCCCATGCAAAACCTTGTTAAATTTAACGACGTGTCAAATTCGTTAATCGAGAGCAAAATTATCGGCCCTAAGTGTATCAAATAAAAAGTATTTAGTATTAAGTCGGGATATATTACAAGGAAATACAAGTAAACTTTGCTAAGGGATAAGTTTGTTCTATTTTGCTATGGACATTGTTAGGAAGTTTTTTTAGGTAATGACCAACGTGAAATCAGGAACATAAGAGTCCCTGTTTGGGAATCGACCCACTGAGTAGTAGACCCCGCATTCCCGTGCCAGTCGACGCGTTTCATCCTTGTTAGGACTCATCAGAAGGACATAGGCTGAAGCTCCCCGTCCAAGCAAAATTGAACTTCGTTGACCAGTCAGAAACAACTACTCCGAGGGCAAATACCCCTACCGGCATTGTACTACACTGATTGGTCTGAGCTTTCGTTGGCAATGAAAATTGTTAGGAAGTTTTTTCAGGTAATCACCAACGTGAAATCAGGGAGATATGTCCTTCTGATGAGTCCTAACAAGGACGAAACGCGTCAAGGACTGGCACGGGAATGCGGGGTCCACTACTCAGTGGGTCGATTCCCAAACAGGGACTCTTATGTTCCTGATTTCACGTTGGTCATTACCTGAAAAAACTTCCTTACAATTTTCATTGACAACGAAAGCTCAGACCAATCAGTGTAGTTCAACGCCGGTAGGGGTATTTGCCCTAGGAGTAGTTGTTTCTGACTGGTCAACGAAGTTCTTGCTATGGACAATAAGGTATCTCAGATATGATTTTTTTTTCTTTTCTAATATATTATCTACCCCTTATTCTTTCATCACGACATAGTTGAGAAAATATGGAAATAGCCTCAGAGGACCCAGGTCCCAGGGCAGTAGGAGATAAGAATTTTCGCGCCGACAAATCTTGGAATAAAGTGATCTTTTTTTTACATCGGTAAATAATGTGTTATGACTATGACAATAATTTGGATCACTCAAATCTTACTTCAAGTTTGCTTTTAGAACAAGCATTTCCATACCTTTGTTTTGATTTCTGGCAGTTTTAGGGAAAGATCGCCTAACAAAAATTGAAAATTCAGTTCTGACATTGATACGCGACTCGATTGACTGTTATATATGAAAAACATCTTGTTTGTAAAAATAGATAGAGCCATATAAAAATAATTTAATAATATTCTTGACTAAAAGCATCTTATAGTTTCTATTTCTTCAACTAAATGTGGGCAAGCATTCGAATAATATACAACAAAAAGTTTTAGGATATTTTGATATGACCCTATTTAACGCATGGTTTAATATTTTCGACATTCCTAAAATGATCAGCTAACTATCCAGGTACCTCTAGAATCTAGATGTACTTCAATTTCAATTCAATTTCAATTAGGTTCATAAGAACTTAATTTCCAATACAAAAATTTGATAACGATATCTTAATCGGAAAATAGAAACCCACATTTGCAAGTAGCAAATCGAGTCTCGTCGTGGCGGAGAGAGTACCATGAGAGTACCCTGCTCAGTACCTCGTGCTTATTCATTTACCAACTCGCTACCAGCGAAGTAAAGTAAATGCTTTGATGCTAACGTAGTCGTAGTACTACTACTTACTATCCACTTCCTTTAAAGAAAGTGAAGGTACTTTTTTGTGACGATCACTTGATCATCTCTTTTATTTATTTTTTTAATTCCGCGGAAAAGAAAGTGAACTTTGTTATTGTTTTGGGAAAGATTTTTAATATTTTAGATAGTAGTGTCGCGTAGACTTTGTCTCGCTGTTATTTGGATTAATAATTAATGTGAGGGTAAGTTGATAAAAATAATAGCAATTCAATTTTATGATCTATTAGTGAGGATTCCACTTCGAGAAAAACGGACGATTTATTTAATTTTAATATCTATTTTATCAATGAAGGTTCAAATTTATTTTTCGATCTGTTTCTATCGTATAAATTTTGAAAACTATTCAGTTAATTAATTACTTCCCTTTTAAAGAAATCTGTTATTAGCCCTGATGTCTTTCCCTCGATTATTATATTATATTTTGAGGGGCATTTATACAAGAAAAAAATGAGAGATGTGTTCAATTTTTAACAGTGGACATTGTTGCAACTTGCTAGAAATCACGTTCCTACAGAGGAAGTATACAAAGGAAGCTACCTGTAAGGCATTGGAATATAATAATTCATTGAAACGCCTAATTCAAACTGTCAATAGTCATGCAAAACTCCTACCAACAATGTGTGATGATGTGATGATGAATTTTAATGTACCCATTAAAGATTTTGCGATAATAAGGGTGTGGGCGATTATTCTATGGGGTCAGCTTTTACATAAATGGAAAATCCATTGTCAAATAATGCATAATTGAATAGACCTCGTTATCGAATTGAGAACTTTTGACTCGTATGCTTATGCAAAGTTATTTGACCTGTAATAATAAATAAATCTCTTGATTTTTGTTCTGAAGCAGACCACATAATCTTAATGAATAATTGAATTTGTGTTCTATGCCAGTTGTCGAGTCAATTTGCAATTTTTGGATGGAGTTTTCATTCCAAATATTAAATTCTCATTTTGACAACTGTATTATATTAGATAAAGGTGAGATTTACTTTCTTTTTGTCCGCATTAATTAAATGCAAACGATCGTTCAGACAGGGCCTATAAAAATTATGTTCACTTTCTTCAGTAGGTAGGTACCTACTCACTTAATAAGCTTCAAATTCAATAATGGAGACCGCGTTAAGATAATCGATTAATAATTCAATTCAATATACATCCGTCATAATATGATAACGTATTGTATTTAATGCTTCTTACTGGTATTCTGGTATTTTTATTATTAAATTATATAAACTGGTAGACACTGTAGACAGTTGCTTTGCAACATGGAAAATTTTACCCAAATTCAAATCTCGATATTTTCGGAACGGAAAGAGATATCGAGTTGCGGTATTCGGGAGATACTTCAACAACTCTTTGAGAACACGTACAGGGTTCGACCGGTATATTTCTTTTATTTATCCACTTATACAGGGTGAGCAAAGGAAGTCATGTTTTTTTAGCAAAGTTTGGGGCTATGATTCTCAATTTTTGATCTTGGAAATTTTTCTATGCACCTTTTCGATCTTTGGACTATTCTAAAAAAAGTAATTTCCCAAATTCTTTGAAAGTTGGCCATACCTAACTCAAATTATCGAATTTTTAAAAAAGGGTTACCGTAAAGTGGGGTTACTTTGCTCCACTTTTAACATTAAATAAATAAAATGCCATGGAAAAAATTGAAAGAAAATAGATAAAATTTCAAAAATGAGTAAGATGATAAAAACAAGTTCGGAAAACAAGTTTTTGAAAAAAAAAATTAGAAAAAATCATTCTACGTATTTTATTTTTTTTAATTAAAAGTGGCGCAAACCATACCATTTGCGGAGGGGCAACTTTGCTCCACCAAATTTAACTAACTGTAACCAACGCTATATTGATCTGTGGAGCAAAGTTATAGCATTGGTAAGATTGTATGACTCCATTTTATCATATAAAACAGCATTTTGGTTTTTTTTTTCACATTTATTGGTCAAAATCGAGAGAAATTCAGGAAGATACAAGAAAATAAATTATTTTCTTATTTCTAATTAAAAAACAGCAGTTATTCTGTAAAAATAGTGGGTAATATTTGGTTTAAATACAACACCAAATGATAAGTCTAAGACCACCATGATTTCAACTCAGCAACATTGAAAAATCCTCTCTTAGAGACCTTGACAGGTGGATCTATGGATCCTAATAAGTCTTCTCAGGAGTAGGTCATTTGGTCCACAATTTAACTTGTCTTCCAGCTTGTTCGAATTAATTTTTCATGATGTGTCAAAGTTCTCTGTATTTACGGGAAAGCCAAATTCTCCCATGGAGATCATGTACTTCTCAAATTGGTTTTCTTCGTCGGCATCAAGCATCAGGTTGTTTTCCAATCGGCTTGGGGTGTTTTCCTTTCAATTTATTATAAATTGTTCTCCTCGGAATATTGTATTTCGCCTCTGCTTTCCTATGTGAAAGATGTCCACTTCTGGCTTCTTCCAAACACGCTTCAAGTGATTCTTTACTAAAATCACTGTATCTTCTCGCTCCAAGTCTTCTTTTGTGTGTTCTGGGCATCTCTAAAAAAAATTGCATTGGAACGAATAACTTTGCGCCACAATTGGAAAAACAAGGCAATACAAATTTGAACAGATGCGAAGGATACTTTGCGCCAGTTATCGCGTGGTGCAAAGTATCCCCATATTTTCTATATTTTGACACTTCACAGAATTATTATTTTTTAAATGGTTGTAGATTGTTATGAAAAGAAAATATTGGTGGTAGTTTCCAAATAATACATCAAAGATATAATAAAAAATTATTTACCTGTTCTATATCAATAGATATACACGATATACCTAGATTTTGGCAGAGGGTATTTTACACCGTTTCCACCATTAATGTTTACTTTCGCGTCAAAACCCCTTAGGAGTTCTTGAACGCTCCAACTCAAGGGGTAATCTATGGAGGCATATACAACCATGAATACACCCAAGCGTTTGGTTGGTTCACTACATTGAATCTCTCTGGAAAATATTTATGAACTTTTTTCTCAAGTGGCGTAATTTATCCCCTTATGGCGCAAAATAACCCCATTTTACGGTACATTTATCCCTAAAAAAGGGACTTTTTCGGGGTTTCTCTTGAGAATGAGTATTTTTTCTCATACTGTTGCATGAAGTGGAAATTCTTGCACCCGAGAAAAGATTGAAGTACTCATTGAATGTTATTGCCTTTAGTGGTGCCTGCAGAAAAAAATTTCTTCTTTGACATTATGTAATTTAAATCGAATTTATCAATTATATTATGCAATTAATCAGCTTAATGAACAAATCCAAGTTACTACTTACTTGGGGTGTATTCCAGTGGCGTAACACCAAGAACATTTTTTTGGTTTGGTAAGAAGTGCTAATAACTTAAAAATTGTTTTTTTTTTTTTTCAAAATGCTATATGATGCTGGCCAACACTAGCTGCACACGAACCAACCATTTTCTGACCTAACTTCAAAAAAAGGAACTGAGTTGCACGTACGATTTGACACAACTAAGTTAGAATCTTACCTCCCTGTTTTAGTGATACATTCAAATAAATATGATTTCAAATGTGAAATTTGTCACAAAAAGTTTAAACATAAAAAGGCATTTATAGTAATGCATTCGGATAATTATTAATTTGAATATGGTATTTGTCAGAAAAAAATTTAAACGAAAAATGGCATTGAAAAACCATCTAAAGAGACATGCAGGGCTGCGTTCAGGAATGGCTACAGCCCAGCCAAAATTGGCATTTTGCGTTCGAGTTCGGCTCCAAACTACGTGGTTCAGCATTACCGGTGGAGGGGGAAAAGTAGGTTTTGGCATTAGCATTGCCGTCCTTGAACGCACCCCAGGTAATCTTGAGTTTGAATGTGACATATGTCACAAAAAATTCAATCTGCAAAAATCATGAAAAAAACATTCAGTGACGCATTTAAATAAATATGATTTTAGATGTGCTGTTTGTCACAAAAAGTTTAAACGAAAAAGCGGATTGACGGTGTATTCAAAAATACATTCAGATAATTATCCATTTGAATGTGATATATTTGTCACAAAAAAATTGAATGGGATAAATAACTGAAAGATCATTCAGTGACGCATTCAGATATTTATCAATTTGAATGTGGTATTTGTGACAAAAAATTTAAACGAAGAGCGGAATTGAGAGACCGAGACCATACAATACGACATTCAGATAAGTTTCAGTTTGAATGTGACATATGTCACAAAAAATTTAAAGTGCGTCAATCATTAACAAGACATTCGGTGACCCATTCAAATAAATTTGATTTTGGATGTGATATTTGTCACAAAAAGTTCAAACCAAAAGGGGGGTTGACAGAGCATTTGAAAGGACATGTGGATAATTACCTATCCATTCGAATGTGGTATTTGTCCCAAAAAATTCAAAAGGAATGGAGAGATGAATATAAAATTGAATGTGACATATGTCACAAAAAATTTAAAGTGCTTGAATCATTAAGAAAGCATTTAGTGACGCATTCGAATAAGTATGATTTTAAATGTGATGTTTGTGAAAAAAAGTTTAAACAGAAAAGGGGATTGACTGGGCATTTAAAAATACATTCAGATAATTATCCATTTGAATGTGATATTTGTCACAAAAAAATGTAAACGAAATGGGGATTTGAAGCTTCATTTAATGAGTCATTCAGATGTGTAAAATTCTGAATATGACATATGTCACAAAAAATTTAAAGTGCAAAGATCATATAAACGTCATTTAGTGTCACATTCGAATAAATCTTATTTTGTGATGTGATGTTTGTCACAGGAAGTACAAACAAAAAAAACGGATTGACACGGCATTTAAAGGGGGTGTGCGCCAAAAAAACAACTTCATCTCAAAAAAAAGAGAAAAAAAATCTAAGAATAACAGTGAAATCCGCACCCCTCTATGACAAATAATACCGCAGATATGGCTCTATGAAGGTACCGCATCTCACCCTATGGAGTCACGAAAGCTCAAGCGACGCACGAGAAAGTGGAGTTACTTAATTAAATTTACATATGTTTCTCCTGTGTTACCTGCAATAATCCAAACAAAAACCACTCACACGTGCCGGGAACAATCAAATTAACAATGCGGAGCGTGGCTGGACGAAGTTTTCGTGACGTCACGAGAGCGTCGTCCACACTTTAAAGCGGTATATCTCAGCGATGGTTT